CTAATGGGGACGTATTAACAAACTTCATTTGTAAACACATCGCAGTTAATCAGCGTAAGTCAGGTTAGCATGGAAGTAATTACAAGTTTTCGTGGGGTTGCGCCAAGAAGACGTTTCCTCAGCTGGGACGAGGTTGAGAATGCACTGAAAAATTCTCAGAAAGTGAGAACATTATAGATCGCTAACGCTGAAGGTCTTCCTCACACAATACGACCACTGAAATTGTGCCGAATATTGATTGCATCCACAATAATCCAGCATATTCAGGCTGTTTCCTTTTGCCGTGGACGATTCCCTGGCAAATATGGTCCAGTTACTTGCTGTTCAGTAGAAGACTGGAACGATACGACCACAAACTTTGAAGCTGCGACATGTTGATCTATTACCGTTTGAACCCGTAACTTCTCGAAGCCGTAACTTTTGATGCTGTAACTGTTTGTGCTGCAATTGTCTTATTGTCCTTGTTTATCGTCAGTCGAATGATAAACAGTCTACGAATCGCACATTTTGCAAGTTGATTTCAGTTCATAGTATCCTGAGATGCGCATGCCGCTCTTCTAGTAACAGCGACAGCTTCAGAATCCGTGAGTTGACAGCCTTTGAAGCTGGTATATCTGCAATTATACTAAGCGCAAACCAAAAACGAACTAGAATATTTGGTGGTCCCACGATGAATGTCAAGTATGTTTCACATAACTTAATTAGTAGGTGTTGTCCATACCTGCATCAGGGAAATCATATCTAGCAAGAAGACAACTCTCGAGAACTCAGAATACTATTTTACGTGTATAATTACCAACTCCACCACAGCGCAAGCGGTATTAAAAGAAGGATGGTAGGTTTAGGACTTATTGGTCGACCAAGTATAAACCAGTGTAGTAGGTTTATTGATTACTATCGGCACACTAAATAAAGTCAACAAATAACGTTAGGATAAAATACGTTGATAATTATCATTGTATTGCGTCAGTGTTTTGTCAACCAGCAAACAACTGAGCCACGACAGAGGTTGTCGCCTTCAAAGAACTATGAATTGATTTGAATGAGTCCATTGGACGTTTACTCAGCTTTCAGAATCACTTATTGAAGTGACAGTAGTAGGATGCACCTTCAGCCTGCGATTAATCAGAAGTGCAGTACGAATTGATAACAGTGATACATTTCAGAAGGACCACACACAGTATTTTGCTAATCTCAGCGCACAATACGATCGATACCACTTTTTACGGTAAGCAGTCAGGCTCTTCCACCATTCAATATGGAAATATGAATTCCTCTTGTATCACATCTCCAGTTAAACCATTTAAACTGTGAACTTCAAAACAAGCATAATCACCACGTAATCCAGTCGCATGTCTCGTTCATAATGTGGTTTCTTCGATGTGTCATGAACGATTTCATTCATTCTGGATGAAAATAAAATAACCTGCATATGTGATTGCATTCTTCATTGAAATGCTTAATCTCATGGAATAGTTATCATACCATCAACGGCTCTCTTTATTCAGTTTATAACCAGGAAATTAAAAACCACTCAGAAACATGACACTCTGAAGGCTTCGAAACAAAAACAGAACCCCTTTCTACGCTTTATTTATCTTGGTGCATATCCGCCGCGGTGATAATTCATCTGCTATACCGGGATAGCTATGAGCAACATTACGACCGAAATATAAGAGTGCTTCTACTACGGAAACCTGAAACTACTTCAACACTTCTTATTTTCACAAAATTAGACAAATGCAATGCCTCTTTATTCATGGGCATGACGACTCAACGATACTGTGAATAGAGCAATCCAAACGAACCAATAACCTCGAAAACTACCCAGAATATCTCGTAGTTAGATCACACTATTCATCAAAAGTTAGTTGAGGATGAACTAGAGAGCAAAAACCAATTGTACTGCAGTGGCTATCACTAGAATGCCGTAAACCGTGATCATTAAATCTAATACAAATTTCTGGATCCTATGCATATCCACAAAAAATTACAGTTAATACTTTTATGCAGTGGGTCATTGTTTTTTGCTCGTTTCCAACACTACATACACTGGTGCCATCTAACTTCAGCCTCTACTATGTGGGATCCGTTACAGCTGAATATTTCTTTCTGACAAACGAATGGGGTATCTCAATGACAACCAATTGCTTGCAACGTCCCCTCTTAGATCCTCAAATTCTCTGGAGACAGCTCTTCTAACATGTGTACTACAAGCGGTCTGAAATGGTCAGCTTCTTCTGAGGAAAGCGATGACAAATAATAATATATTCTCAATTTTTTGACAATCCATCTCCATCCTGGTTGTCAATGCGATTACCGGCAAAAGGTTCGACTGAGTGACAAAATGCTCTCCTGCGACATATACAGTCTTCGGTTGTTTTCGTCTTTTCAGAATTCCTTGTCAATACCAAAGAGCTATTTGTTTTAATAGGTACTTGTCTGGCATTTTTTACTATATATATTAGGCCGTGTGTTTTCTGTGTAGTCGAGCACCTTATTCCGTCAAACGAAGAGAGCCTCAAAATTCTGTTACCCACAGCGCCGAATTAGGTTCCAAAACACGATTATGTTTTTGAGGAGGTGAGTTCGCTTCTCTTACTTCCGAAATTCTGAGTGATGTTGTGTAATCTCTTGCGCAAAGTGTGTTTCTACGATTGAGAGCAGCTACATATGTGGATCGCTACTGTCAGTGAGGAGGCCGTATTCATTTCAAGTGAACTGGAAGACCACGATTTATATTTTTCATATTAACGAACAAATACAGGATTTGAATGCAAGCTACAAGACACTGACCAAAAGAGGAAAGAAGATTGCCAGGGAAGACAAAAGAAAGTATTATGAAGACATGGCAAGTGAAGCAGAAGAAGCTGCAGGCAAAGGAGACCTCGCAACACTCTACCAAACAACTAGGTACCTATCGGGAAAACGTTTGACACAAATTTTAAGCCGGTGAAGGATGACAATGGAAAGTCACTCACCAAAGAAGTGGAGCAAAGTAAACACTGGGCTGAACTCTTCAAAAGACTCCTAAATCGACCACCACCTACAACGCGCCCAAAAATACCAACGACGGAGACAGAGCTACCAGTGAACACAAAACCCCCTCCCGACGAAATCTGAAGTCCTGAAGACAATCAAGATGCTAAAAGCTGGAAAAGCAGCAGGACCAGATGGAATCCCAGCAGAAGCATCGAAAATGGACCCAGAGACAACAGCAGGCTTGATGACGCCACTACTGGAGAAGGTGTGGAAAGAAGGCAAAGTACTCGAGGATTGGAAGAAAGGATACTTATTCAAACTACCAAAGAAAGGAGACTTAAGTCAATGCAAGAACTGGTGCGGAATTATGCCCCTGTCCATCCCAAGCAAAATACTAAGCCGCATCATCCTGGAGAGAATCAAACATCCCCTGGATGAAAAACTTCGACCGGAACAGGCTGGATTCAGGAGAAACAAGTCATGCATTGATCAGATCGCCACATTACGGATCATCATTGAACAAAGCCTGGAGTGGCAGTCACCTCTCTATCTCAAATTCATTGACTTTGAAATGGCCTTCGACAGCGTCGATCGAGAGGTGCTTTGGAAACTACTTCGCTACCATGGGGTGCCATCGAAATCTCACCCAACAGTTGTACGACAATACTGTATGCCAAGCAATCCACAACGGGAAACTTACGGAATCCTTCGAAGTGAGGACAGGAGTAAGACAAGCTGGCCGTCTACTATCGCCAGTGATTTTCCTGATTGCAGTAGACTGGATAATGCAACAAACAGCGGCGGGCAACGAGGAAACAAGCATAAAATGGACCCACACAAAAACTTGGAGGATCTGGACTTCGCCGATGATATATGTCTGATTTCCCACAAACTGGAAGATATGCAAGCGAAAAGCAACAAGTTGGCAGAAGAAGCATCCAGAGAAGATAGGAAGGACTTCAGGTGAACATAGAGAAAACAGAGGTGATGAAGATTCCTGAACAAGAAGCAACAACAACAGACAACAATCAGCAGAAATGAAAGGAACCTGAAAGAAACAACCTCTTTTACCTACCTAGGAAGCATCGTTTCAACTACAGGCGGAACTGACGAGGATATCAAAGCAAGAATCGGAAAAGCAAGACAAGCTTTCACTACTCTCAAGTCTGTGCGGAGGTCAACAGCACTCAGCATCAAAAATAAGATCCGGATTTTCAACTCCAATATGAAGTCAGTGCTACTATACGGATCAGAGACATGGCGCATCATAAAGAGCATCAAATAAACTACAGACCTTCATTAACAGTTGTCTTCGCTCAATACTCAAGATCAGACGGCCAGAAATGATCAGCAACAGGGATCTCTGGGAGCGAACCAACCCAGCAGGGACCGACTGTGTAAGAAATAAGCAGGAAGAAATGGAGATGGATTGGCTGGCCATACTCTGAGGAAACCATCAAGTGACATCACTAGACAAGCCGTCGAGTGGAACCCGGAAGGGAAGCGGCGAGTTGGTCGTCACTGCGAGGGTGGGTGACTTGGAGGAGGTCATGTGAAGAGGAGATGAAAACGTGTGGGCAGACATGGAACCAGGTGAAGACTGTAGCAGAGAACAGAACGCAATGGAGACGCACGGCTGAAGCCCTATGTTCCTCTAGGAATTAAAGGAAACTATAATAATAATAATAACGAAAGGTATTGAAAGATCTTCATGTCGCAAAATTAACCTTATATATTTTATATCATATTCCCTCACTTAGTCTGAATGGCTTACCATCAGTGATTCCGGTTGTACACAACTGACCTGTCACGAACAAGTATTGTCTTAAATTCCTCCCGTTATTCTTATGTATTAATTTTCTGATGCAGTGTAGGTTTATATTTTCCAGTCGAAGGTTTGCACGGATATTCGTATGCCAAACCATTTAATCGATTTCCAGCACACGAAAATTTACATTGCTGATTGGTAGTAAATAGAAGCTATTGGATATTGAATGATCTCAAGGTCATATGTTAGACACGGGTGCAAGCCGATTGACTTCAGCGGGTGGTATGTTTGAAGATGTTGTCGTTAATACAACGGGAGTTCGGAGTTGAGTGTGGTAAAATTGTCCATAATACTAAAGATGGCAAGAGCGATAAGAGTGAACTTGTGATGGAAAAATCTGGATTCAGTGATGACTTGGGCCACATAAGCCTATGGGGAAATCCTCTTGAAATTGAGAAAATTGCAGACTTCACACAAATTATCGAGTCTCAAGAGCAGGAGAGGGAAAGCTCCAGGTTTTATGATTTCGACATGTTCGTACCTATTAGCGAGTATATGCAAATTTGTAAACTTATACCAGAAAACCCGTTGAGGGGTATTTAGATAACATCCTGTATTTTATTCGTGAAGATGGTGAACAGTTCGTAGCATTATTCCCTCATTCATCAGTGTCAAAGAAAATTCTGAGAATAAGCTCGGAGTTCAGTGAGTATCCTCTTTGTGTTTTTTATCTCTTAGACGTTGATGTTGACCGTTCAGTTGACGCCGTTTCTCGGGAAGTGATGCTTTCGTTTCCTGTAGGTTTGTAGCGAATAACATACATTTTAGCAGGCCACTTGCTCGTTTGAATCGTTTTACAAACTACCTTGTGGGGTGTTCCAAGCAAAGTTTGACACTTGTGAAGGGAAAATACTAAGCCCTCCTCCGTCTTTTGTATCAGGAAAACTGGTTTGTTGGCGTCTTACATACATTAATTCCAGACTGTAAATGTTTTTCCATATAACTCCACAGAAGTAATGTCAGGAATTCTAGAGGATATACTGTTGTTAAAGGTAATACCTATGCTTTTACCTAATAATCAGGATTTATATGCAGCGTACGAATGCGATACACCGATATGGCTCCTGAATTCAGAGCTTAGTCCTGACCAGGTAAAGGTGGAGTTTCCCAAAATTTTAAATTCAGGTAAGTTGTCACAGTAAAGTTTATACCGTAGTTCATTCAAACACAGTTAACCAACCAGATGCAAGACCGCATACAAGTGATGCTATTCTACTTTCTATTCGCCCATTAGACACATCTGAAGTAATCTGGAACACATTAAAAGGTATGGAATTTATCTTCCGATTCTTTTGCCAATCCTATTTTCAGCAGCGATAATCTGGTAGACATCATTAAAAAAATTCACTTAATTTTTTTTCCTGTGCTTGCTATAATTAACCGGTTTAATTGTGTTTAGTATTTTAGGTAGGTACAAAATCTAGTAACTGTTTCAACATCTGACCAGGAGTCACGTACAGAGTTCAGTATTTCTCTAGGGCATTTTGTAATACACATTGCCGTAATATTTTGCTCCATTATTTTCAGTTATTTTGTTCGTATTATGAATTTACTTGCGAGATATTAGTCTAACTGCTGTCTTTATCGCACCGTTTATTTACAACGGATGTTATATCTTTTAATAGGATCACCAAATAAACTCACTTTTAAAACGTGTATTCAAAGCATTTTTGAGTACCTCGTGGACAATCGTGAACTGGTTTACGTAAGTTATTTAATCGCATGAGTTTTCTTCATAATTACTTTGCGAAGTGGTATGCTGGCGAATTTTCCTAATGATGACCTCTGTAAATATCTTTTTTAATTGGATTGTGCGCTGAGTAGTGCATAAGTGGAGGAAGTAGAATACCGTTTCTCCGAAATGCTAAGTTAAATGTGATACAAAAGTGCCACCCAGTAATTTCAAGCAGCATCTTATGGAATGGGGAGTTCCTGTTTTTCACGAAACCGTATTCCCTTAAATTTACATAGGAGCCCAAGTCGGGCAATGGTATGATTTGTTTGTCATTCAGATCTCAATGAACCATTATTTTGTGGACGACGTCTTGAACACAAAGCATTCAATCCGCGGGTGACAGGGTAAAGAACAATCACCCATAGATTTAGATCTTTTGAGTTGTAGCAGGTGTTATTCTCCATAAGGTATGTTCATTTACTTTTGTGACCCTAAATTTGCTTTTTAACTCAAACATTATCCCCAGAACAGTTTGTGATATCAAGAATAAACTTTTGTTGCTTTTATTTACATCTAGTGATCAACTTTCAGTGTCCTGTTACAAAATGAAGTGCTTCAAAAATAAAGGTGTTGGGTGAAGATAGCTTTTGTCTGTACAACTTCAAGTGTTAACGTCAAACACTGAATACCACTTGTGATGGTTTCCTTTAAGCTTAGGCAGCAAAATACACTTATATTTCCTTCAGTAAATGATAAGACATAGTGGTATTTGAATAGAAAAACAATTGAAATTCAGTGGACGCCGTCACCCCAAAATGGCATCAGTTTTCAGCTGCATCACAGTCCTGAAGTAATAGTAAGCTGGTTAATAGCCTATGCAAAACACTCCTGGTCTACAAACAATAAAGCATACATTAATGACAGAGCCAGGAATTAATATTTAAAAGTACAAAAAGTCACTTATTGACTGGCTAGTTTTAACATAAAACTTTGCACAGAATTGCATCAGTTCAAGTTTCCACACTCCATGTAGCACGCAAGGACAAAAGAGAAAGGAAGAGATTTGAAAGAATGTTAATGAGGAGAAAAAATATTCACATGAAAAGATGATGGGGTTCAGTGGGTATAAGAGATCACTAGGAGCGAAAACATCTTCCTCACTGAGTCCAATTTCGAGCCATATCATCAGTAAATGCTTCATTCAGAACGACTTTAAGCCATGTCATCAATTGTTCCTAGTTGTTGGTTCTTAGAATTCTGAGGACATCAACCAGTAGTCCTAGACCTCTCTGTGTGGCTCAAACTAACGATTGAGGATTCCATGTTTTTTTTGACCACCACTAGCTCTTTCTCAACCTGAACACCCTATATCAGCTAACACTGCCTGTCGAAGGCGATGTCTAAGCATGCGTAACACATGTCCTAGCTTCATGACGTCATCGATTGACTTTCCGTCCTTGCCGAACATTCAATATTACTCATCCTATTACACCACCTAACACGATAGGTTATACGGAGACACCTATGATCAAAGGCATTCAGTCCTTTGATGTCTTCCAGTGGCCATGCCTCACTGCCGTCAAGGAGGACGAAGCGAACTAGTGTCCTTTGACCGATAGCCGGATGTTACAAAAAGCCACATCTTGTACTAACTCGTCATTTAGGGCTTGAAATGGACAACAGAATGCTACGGGATAAAAGAGTAAAAGAGAAAAGATACAAAAGTGCGATATCAGAAGTAATGTGAAAATAAAACGTGAATGCTTTTGGAACACCATGATCGACCCTGGGGTTTTTGCACTATGAAAGTCTTCACATTACCAGTTTAAGCGTCGAAGACCCGACATCTTATCAGCATTATCTGTCCTTGAGGTGTACTATTTGTGTGTAATCTTGGTCCACCAATGAACCCCTAAAATGTTCATCCTTATTAACCTAGTTCAGAATATATAAATGGATAGATTAAATATACTTTTTGAATAGCTTATAGGACAGTCTGTCATAATCGCTAAAATGTTAACTAATATTTTCAGATATAGAAAGCCTTTGTAAAATATTTACTTTCCAAGCATATGCTTCATTAAAAGATAAGTGTGCAACTCAGCAGCTTGTGAGGGATACCTGGTTGGTGGGTGCTTGCAACACTGTTTAGGACAAGGTGAAGTGGTGTGTGAATCCCATAACCAGTGGTTGAAGATCAAGCATAAAAACAGAGCCATATCGTGTCAAAATAGGTGGCATCATCAGAGCTCACAAAATAAGTGTGTCTCATAGTCTATTTCACAAAAAACCTGTTCCCAGTAATTGAGTTCTAATTAATAGTTGGTGGTGGTGAAAGCGAAAGTAGTGAAATTGGTATCAGGGGTAAGTAATATTCATCAACTTTTTATGCACCTCGTAGGAAAGTAGTAGATGAAACTGGCAGAAAAAGAAGTAGAAAAATGTTAAGAGGTGATCAAACTAAAATATTTTTTTAATATTTTTTTATACAGCTTGATGCCACACAGTATTTTTAGTACAAGTATGGAATTTTCAGCTTTGATATCGGTAGCCCAAATTTCGCAGGCCGACCATAGATATCAGGTGTGCGTCGGCAGGGGATCGAACCTCGGACCATGTGCATGGTCGGCGAGAGTCCTAACCACTGTGCCACCGACGCGGCCTGTAAAATGTTTGCATTTTAGTTAATAAAGACACGAGATGTGAATGTTTTGTTAGATATTTTGAGCTGTATGCTCATTTATTTTATATTTTGGTTATAACATAGTATTTCATATATATGTATACATACATATACCTTTTCTTCAGCTTGATGGTGACAATCAGACTCAACTTGCTTGCAAAATACGTGAATTGCGTGATTGTCCCGACTTACATAGTGACGATTCGTACGTTCTTTACAACTTACGAATTGAAGTTCTTATAGAAATTGGCCTACATAAACTAACAAATGATTGCATTTATTTCCTTGAATGTGGTATGTAAAACTTGATATTTATTTAGATTTAATGTACTTTTGGGTCATATCTGATTATCAGTCCGCTTGTTATTTCACCGTTTTGTGTATAAATGAATCCACTAGTATATTTCTGTGCTTGGTGTTCCTATGTGTATTCTGTGATCCTATTGCGAATTAGGTCCTGACAGTATTCTATTGGTGATATATGTTCAGATGTTAAAATCGTTTCTAGTTGTATGTGAGGCACAATTTTACCTTACTTACCCCCCCCTCCCTGCAGTTATTGTCACTCCTTCCAATCTTAGGCGTTCTACTAAAGTGATTCAAGTCTAAGGAAACTATAGGTTAGTTGCTACCTGGTTTATATCGCTTGCTTATCTCCTGAATATATTAAAGGTTTGGTGAGACTGAAAGCTCAACTATATATGTTTTAAAATATTTTTCATGAATTACTTTAGTTTAGTCCTGAAAATACTTGCTCTCTGAGGTGCCGCGTCTCAGTAGATGGTTTAGGACATGAGCTAATGACAGAAAATTGCATCGGAAATTCATTATTGCGAGTTGTAGACTCATTTTATCTTAGTGTCACAGCATGTTTACTACTATTATTATTCCTTCCCTGAGTTCCTGGTGGAACACAGGGCTTTGGTGGCGTGTCTTCGTTTCATTTAGTTCTCTGTAGTCACTTTTAGCTGGTTTCACGACTGCTCACGAGCCTAAATTTTTCTCTTCACATGATCTCCATGTTGCTCATTGGTTTGATCAACTAGATTTACAATCAGCAAGTCGCGGTTTTAGATCATTCTCCATTCACTTCAGCCTGAGCAACTGGATCCGTTCATCTGTCCTCACACAATAAACGAGGTTCATTGCATGGTGTATGAAAAATATTTCCTGCGTAACTGGGTTATAACTAGTTTAATAAAATGTGTGTATCATTAAGCATGTGGCCACTTGTCGCTGGTGAAAGTCTAGTTACTTTTATCATTTTAAACAATGTTAGATGGTCTATTGATTGGACTGAAGTGCTTGGTCTCAAGTTGATGTTGGCGTTTGAAACTATGGGCACTGGGTTCGAGCCTCGATGGGAACACCAAAACTCACTGGGGAATGCAGATACATCCAGACGATGAGTTCTAGGCAGGACGAAATGCGCATCCTGGGCTCCACTGCTAGTCACCATCCACTAACTGACTTCAAGTGTTAATTGGGTTTGTGGAAATGAACCGGGGTTTCATTACATACCTTCCTTAGCTAGATCGACATCAAAAACGTGGAGGCACAGGACGGCTGCTTTGTCTATGAAGTTTCGGGACCCCATAAACTTGAAAGTAGCATCTTCAAACGCATTCATTCAGCCATCGATGGCAAAGTAATAATCAATGTTTTTGATCTTTTCGTTTTTTTCTTACTTTCCATAATATGATATAAGTCCCCAATCTCTGTTCATATTTAGTCTTTCAATTGATTTTCGTTTCTTTTGATTACTAAACATTAATTTGTCATAGGGAATCAGTCATTAGGTTTGAGATGCGATGTGCGAACTGAAATATTTCAATGGTATATATATATATATATATATATATATATATTGTTAAGAAACCGTCTCTATATCGAAGTTCATGTGATTAGTGTCTACTACGTTAAGAAGTTTTTATTGGCTGTTTTACCGTTTCAGTTATTCCAGGTTCATCAGCACTTCGGGAAATTGGCAGAAAACATGGCTGGAACTTAGAAAGTCAGTGGGAAAGATTACACTATCTTTATAAATCTGTTTCTTTTTATGCCCAACTTATAAAAGTTGCAAAAACACCTTCTGTAATTCCAGAATTAAGGTTGGTCCTATTTGTTATGTATATAATGAAAATTGAATTAAAAATGATGACTGATTGCTAATAAATGAATACACCATAAACTATGTGTATATTAAAACAAATGGTTAATTCAGCAGAGGTATCGGTACTGTGTTTACTGACTAGCATTATGATATCAAGTCACTCAAGTGAATATACTCACCGGATAGTCCCTCAATGTTTTCTAAGTATTTTATTATAACTTTTGAAATGCTCCTTACTATGTCAGTAAAATTTTACTTGATGTCATTTATCTGCAGCTGGTAAGTATTGGGATAAAAAATGCACATTTCGTTCAATTCGAGACTTGTTAGCCGAATGTAACTTCATTCCAGCTGGTCATAGTTTCACCACTAAAACTCCTGGCCAGATAAATACTATAAATGTAAGACTCCAGCCAATATTGAGGCTTCTGTTCAAAAAGTTCATATACCAATATTAATCGATTAGTTCATTTCTGTTAAATCAACAGGGTATTATGAGTGTCAACAAATAACTGCAAGTCACAGTAGTTACACAAGATATAGTTGTTATGGTTCAAAAGTTCACTAGATAAGACTGTGGTGTTTTAAACTATGAATGCTGGGTTGATAAGTTATATATGGAACTGAATTCACCTTTTGAGTCACAGTACTAACCACTACATGGTAGAGCTTTACACAGTTTCAAGGTGTCTGCCCTTATTATTATTATTCCCTTAGGTTCCGAGTGGAACATAGGACTTCAACAACACATCTCCACTTTCTATTTTTTGCCATCCTCTTCAGCTGGGTCCACTATTGCCCTTGATCTTTCATCTCCTCCTCGCCACACGATCTCTTCCACATCACCGTCGCATCGACGACCTACTCGTCGCTTCCTATTTGGATTCCACTCGAAGGCCTGGCGCGCGATGTCATTCGATGGCCTCCTCAACGAATGCTTGATCTCTCTCCATTTCCTTCTACATATTTGTTGAATGATCGGCCCTTGGGTTGGTTTGTTGCCAGAGTTGCTTACTAATTCTTTCTAGCCAACCATTTGATCTTCAGTATGGAGCCAGCGAAGTGGGCAGCTGGTGATAAAAGTCTGTCCATATGAATATTTTATTATTATTATTTTACTGTAGTTAAGGAATTATACTTTAGTGTGTTTTACTAGCCGTTTTTATTTTATATTTTGGTTGAGCTTATATCTCAGGTTTCCTCTGCTCTTTGTTGTTATTCTAGAAAAATCCTATCTCAGAAACCGCCTAGAAGTGAATGGCGATCGGCATTGTTTGAGTCAAATGTTAAACCATTTCAAATAGTTCATAGTTTTTCTGTGCCTGTACGCGAATTAGTTATACCACTATCAATGTAAGTTTTGTTGTGTAGTTGTTTTTGTTCTGCCTCAAATTGATGGTAAACTATTTGCGTTACGTAGTTATGCGTTGTATCATATCTTTAATATCTATCAGTATTGTCATACTTTAAGTACAGGGACAAAATAAATGCAGTTACACAACCACCTACATATAAGTAAGTGTTAATGAA